TTGAGCCTCAGATACTTTCAGATCCTCTGAATTGAACATACACAAAGCCATTCTTTCATAAAGTTAAAATCATTGCTTAAATTTTGAGACTAATATTTTTTTTAAATAGGAATTTATTCTACTGACAACAATATATGTAATGTTTTTCTTTTTCACTTAAATTCATTATGAACTCGTCCAAAAAAAGAATCTTGAAATATTAGCAAACGTATATCTATACAATGGAAATGGCTTTCATTTTATCAAAATTACTCAAAGTTAGGGTTGCCCATTTTGGTTGGATGGATTCCTGGAGACTTCATCACAGGGCATAATATTTAATTAAAGTCTAATCTTTAATTTCTGGTGACTCTGGGATAATCCTGGAGGTTGGCAACTCTACTAAGTTTCCCAGACAAAACATTTAGATGTTGCTTCATAGATAATGTTTGTACTCAACATCTTATGTTTATCATATTTTAATGAATAATGTTATTTGGATCACATGCAACAATTAAACATATAGAAAAAAAACCCAAAATAAAACCAAAAGCATGTTATGTTTCATCTAGTTCATAGCTCCAAGAAGCTCACACGTTATCTGCACTGAAGAAAGGGGGCCAGATTATTCCATCATTTCTAATGGCACTAAACCTAGAGTAAGTCCATGGTTTCAAGAAGTACTCCAAATTTCCACTGCTAGAAGTGAAGGAAGAAGTTAGACCATAAAATAAGGTGATGTTGCTCTGAATAAATGAATTTGTGCTATTTTTGTCTGTTTCTCTTGGACTCCTCTTCACCACCATTCCACAGATACATTATCTCAAAAAATGTCAGAAACAAAGACAAATGATTCCAGCTGGACTGCTGCATATAATTATTTCTTTTAAAAGAACTGCATTATATTGGTCTGAATATAAGGCATTTTTTATAAAAGTAGATCCACTACATATTTAACACATACCAACTCCTGCTAAATACAAATCCTTTCTTATTTAAAAATATTTTAGCTAATTTGCAAAAAGCATTGCTGTAATCTAAAATACTCCAAAGTGTTCAGTTTAAATCCATAATTCCCTCAATCTGCTCTACAACAACGATGCAGAGTTTGACGGATAAGAGGCTTCTAAGAATCTCAGAGGCCAGAAAAGGAATTGTCCTCTAAGCGAGTACCTACAAATGCAGGAAACTGACAAGGGACAACTCAATCAGCTATTTAATAGAGGTGAAGACAAAGACACCCTATGACACTGTTAGCGTCTACAAAACATGACAAAGAAAAGAGATGGAAACAAAGTGGAGAGACAGAAGTACCATCGTAATTGGGAAAAGGAGAGGGCCCAAGAACCATTGGAGAAAACAATTTTATTGTCAACTAGGAATGATCTTCAAAAAGCTCCTGTAAATTCAAGTCTTCATATGCCAAAGTGCAACAATTCCTCAAGATTATCCAGATCTAGTCTCCCACAAACACAGGTGATGATGAGGATGTGGAAGAATTCTCTCTCAAATATACACCTATGCAATTGTGACAGGAGACTTCAAGGATGGAAGCGGTCTGCAAAGATTTCTACACCAAACTGTTTACGTCTTAAATAAATGTCCCACTACCAACACCTCAGTAGACCAATGAGTGCATACTAGTGGTTCTCGTCAATGAAGTTTGACATGCAGTTTTTCAAAGGAAGGGAGGAAAAACTCCAGGAAGATGGACTGACACCAAAATGATAAGAGCTGCAGGCAAAGATCTCTGAAAAATTCTTGCTAATTGGTGTAGCCATTACTTGGAAATGCAGAAGATACCATCCAGCTGGAGAGAGTCCAGCAACATTTTGTTGTATAAGAAGAGCATCATAAAGACCTATCATCCAATATACCTGCTCTCACATGTTTACAAGCTGGTCACAAAACTAACAACAAACCAACTCCCACAAGGTCTGGATGAGCAGCAGCCAAGAGAACAGGCAGGTTTTCAAAGGAATTTCAGCACAACAGACCATTTCTTCAGTATAAACTAGCTCAAGTGAATACAAGGGAATACAAATTTATTTTATACATTGCCTTCATTCACTATGAAAAAGCATTCAATAGTGTAGAGCTCAATGCAGTGCTGTAAGCTCTTGCAGAGAAGGGCAGCAATACAAACTATTAAAGGAAGCGAACACTGACTGCACTATGGATATAAATCTATTTGACACTTCCATTTGCAGCCCAATCAAAAAAAGGCGTGTAACAAGGAGACATGATTTCACTGAAATTTTTCAAAGTCTGCCTCAAACTTTGAAAAGTAATACACCAGATGAACTGGAAGGGCAGAATTAGCATCTTTGTACAGCAGTTAATCCACCTCAAATTCACCACTGATTGTGCTGACTGCTGAAAACACTATCAAACCATAAAAAAAGCTGTGAGACTTGACATAAAAGGCAGTCAAGTTGGACTGAAAATGAATGGCTCTAAGACAAAATGTATGTGGTCTGATGCCTTGCCAAAAATCCAAATAATATTCAAGAGAAAACAAAATAAGTTGAGCAACATGCACCATAATCAGGAAGGCAAACTCTCATGAAGAAAGAAAGCTGGTTGGTGTGCATTCAGTTCTATTAAGAATGTCCTTCAAGGAAACATCAACAAGGCAACATGAACCAACCTCTTCAACTCAACTGTACCGTTGGCAATGCTAAAGGTAGAGGTACAACAACTGTCTGTCATGGTGAGGGTGATGGAAAGAAGAATTCTGGGGATTTCAATCTGTGACCCAGTCCCCGGTGAAGTGATCAGATATGGAATGCAGGATGTCATTGTTGACAGCAGGTACAATAAAATGCAATACGCCGGGCATATAGCTAGGCAGTGAGCTGTCAATCGATGTACTGTAGCTGTCGCCGAATGGTCTCCACGGGAACTGAAAAGATCTCTCAGACAGCCTCCAAAGAGATGGGAAGAGTTTATCATGAAAAAACATAGTCACACATAGAGAAGGAAGGCCAGGATAAGAGAAAAATGGAAGGCGTGTTGTGATCAGCCCTCATATAGACTGTGCTGAAGGACTGACTGATTAAAGTTATAAAGGTAAGACAGGAGGCCAAACTCTGCCAGAAAAGAAAATTAAAATAAACTTAAAAATTCACATGTGAACAGGTGTATAAATTATTATTCTAGAATATATTTGCTTGCCATTTTATTACTGCACCTATTTTAATGCATACCATGGAACATCTAATTTTGTCTGACAAAGCACCAAACAATTTCCAGCGTTGATTAAAAATACATATAGATCCTTAAATTAAAAGCTCTTGTATATCATCTTCATTGAGAAGGCAAAAGAAACCATAATTTATTTGTACAACTAACTTCTAGATATAGGTCTCTAGCATAGTGAAGCACATCTACAAAGGATTTTTCCTGACCTACAATAGAAAAGAAAGCCTCTGAATCCATCCCCCTGCATCTATGTGAAAACAATATCTAAACAGCACAGCACAGATATGAAATACAGGAGATATCTTTTTGTATATAATTTAAAAGGGAAAAAATCCTTTTCAAGTGTTTGCTTTTGGACTCACAAGCAGAGTTAAAAAGAAATTATAGAAATCTGGGGCCCGAGATACACATCCACATATCTAGAAATGCAACAGATGTTTAAAAATAGGGGCTCACTTTCAGTTGGTAGTCCTCATTTTGAACAATCTTCAACTGTTTTATTATTTTATTTTTTAAAGAAATCACAGGATTAGCATTTTTCAAAGAAAGGCCCTGGAAAGTAATGTCTTAGTTCATGATCTGGAGAAAGTGAAACTATGATCCAGACAACTGTACCTCTCTAATTCTCTTATCTTTTGGAATGAAGATTCAATACAAGCCAAAAATAATCTTATTGCCCTTTAGGATATAGCCTTAGCTCTTGACTCCAGGGCATCCCAGTTCTTTCAGACCTTTTTCAAAACCTTCATGCCCTTCCCCCAGCTGCGTTCCTACTGGGTGCATGTATCTCTCCTCTCAGGACTTTCATCTGACAAGTGTGGAGAGCTCCCTCTCAAGTCTTTCTTTGATCCTGGATCTCTACTCTCCTCTTCCCAAGAGGCAGAAAGATCCACATGAAATATTCTGTAGAGAAGAATACATGTAATCTACAACAGCAGCTCCCTGTCTTAAAGAGCACAAGTGCTGCAACAGACACTCTGGGACATGTACACATAAGAAGTGCCTCACTGATGTAATCTTTATTCCATCAAACTCTCTCCTTTTTTGTTTACTGCCATCCTTTAATATTCCAAATCTAATATAGATTGCAAATGCCTCAGGGTAAAGACATCATTTTTGGGTTGTGAAGTACTATGCATACTTTTAGCAATGTATACAGTAATGATATAGATCCAATATTTAAAGTTTTGTTTACAAACAATATTTTACAAGTCTTAACATTAATGAGAATCTTGGCATTTAATGAAAAATATTAATTGCAAAGTTTGGTATGACAAACATTTGCCTGCAGTTTTTACAACTCAAGCACTCCAACATTCTGCCTATGCACATGTACCAGAAACATACTAGGCCTTTCTGTCAAAGTTCCGTGAAATACAAAAGTAGGCAGCATGTGTGACAAACAGTACAAATGACTTAGTTTTATAATTCTTTTTCATTTTAGTAATTTTATTATTATTATTATTATGTGGTAGGCTGACATGGGCTATCCATAAAATACATAATACATTTCTTTATTATTTTCATGACCCACTTCCCTCCCCTGGTAACACTGAAACAAGCATGCAAACTTAAGGACTTGTCCAACCTTACTTAACATGTTACATAATTTATGGACAGCCGCTTATAAATTGAAAACAAAGAAGGAAGCTCCAAACAACAAGAATCTGAATGCAGAACTGAGACCTAAATTAGTAACAAAGAAATACAGTATCTCTTTAAATATATCCATGTAAACAGAACATTTATATAAAAATATAAATTTTGAGGGTACACTTTTAAAGCTGTTTTTTCTTATTTAGCTCTATCAGCCTCACCTTTGACAGAAGACTATTTGGACTAATACTGTAATCTTTAAGGCTCTCATGTAACTTTTGCAAGCATTGTATCACTCTTCGTTGTTGTTCATCATTCCGCAGCTCTTCTGATTTGATCAGAAAGTCATAGTGTTCTAAAGGCCCATTGCAAACCAATAGGGCCCTAGAGTTAGCATCTGCTAGAGTATTAGGGGCTATGTTCGCAGCTGCCTGAATTGTATATCCTGTAAAATAAGAAATAATTAACTGTTACTAGAAAGGTTCTGAAAATTGTCCTATTGTATTCTTAAATTTACACATAAAGACAAAATGGCTATCTACTATTTTATGTAAGTAGTAACAGAGCAATAAAAATTAGCTAAACATGCACCAATATATTTTATGCAATCACTTTGTATTTCTCTAAATAAGAGTTTAAAAATGTCCTTAAATACTGGAAATTGCTTAGTACTGGGGGGAGGTGCCCTTACACATATTATATATATAAATAGATAGATATAGATATAAAGATCACAAACAAAAAAACAGTTGGGGATGCTCAAAATTTGCAATTTCCGTTCGCCAGGAAATGTTGTCAAGTAGAAATCTGGCTTTGTTCCGAACTGAAACAAAACCAGAACATTTCAAACTTTCCACAAAATATATTTTTAAATGATTCAATTAAATTGAAACACTTCCTTCTGATTAAATATGAAATTTTAAAATGTCAAACTACAGATCAAAATGGACCCAATAAGATAGAAAAGCAGAAACCAAATGTTTTGACTTTATCAAAATATTTTTTTCAAAACAAAATTCTGTTAAATAATGGGTTTCTGAGGCAAGTTTTAAAATGTGCTGAAATTATTTCCTGACGTTTCAATTGACTCCACCCCAACAAAACATTGACAGTCAGTTCTCTATATCAGGGCAATGCTGAGATCAGCACGGACAGTCCCTCTAAAATCACCATCCCTGGAAGTAAACCCAACTATTCTTAGACTGGACCTATGAGTTTGGATCCTGTGAAGTTTGTTCAGAGCGGTCTTCTCTCTATACTGTGTGGGAGTCATTAGTGCCATGGGAGCCCCAGTTCCTATTGAATACCCAAGATTATAGAATAAGAAAGAGCATGAAACCTAAATTTATGGAAGGAAAAGTATTCAGGTGCTGTATGGTTCCTGAACACAGGGGTGAAGGCATCTGTAACAGAGCTCTCCCTTAGTAGACTTCCACAAACTCTCATTAAAGGTGGGGCATTTTTGTGCTTTGGACTTCATCTGCTCTGTCTTGCCAAATAGCAGCAGAAGTATAAAGTGAGATACCTGCAGGTAGTCTCTTGAGATGGGAAGGAAACAGCTTCCTCATTTATAGACATGGGAGAAAGAGAGAATATGTACATGATGAGAGAAGGTTCTGTTGGAGAAATGGCAACCATAAGAACATAAGAATGGCCACACTGGGTCAGACCAAAGGTTCATCTAGCCCAGTATCCTGTCTTCCAACAATGGCCAATGCCAGATGTCCCAGAGGGAGTGAACAGAGCAGGGAATCATCATCAAGTGATCCCTCTCCAATCATCCATTTCCAGTGTCTGACAAAGAAAGGCTAGGGACACTATTCCTACCCATTCTGGGTAATAAGTATTGATGGACCTAAACTCCATGGCTACGTCTACACTGGCCCCTTTTCCGGAAGGGGCATGTAAATTTCACGAGTCGTCATAGGGAAATCCGCGGGGGATTTAAATATCCCCCGCGGCATTTAAATAAAAATGTCCGCCGCTTTTTTCCGGCTTTTAAAAAAGCCGGAAAAGAGCGTCTAGACTGGCCCCGATCCTCCGGAAAAAGTGCCCTTTTCCGGAGGCTCTTATTCCTACTTTGAAGTGCACTTTTTCCGGAGGATCGGGGCCAGTCTAGACGCTCTTTTCCGGCTTTTTTAAAAGCCGGAAAAAAGCGGCGGACATTTCCTCCGGAAAAGGGCGCTTTTTCCGGAGGATCGGGGCCAGTGTAGACGCTCTTTTCCGGCTTTTTTAAAAGCCGGAAAAAAGCGGCGGACATTTTTATTTAAATGCCGCGGGGGATATTTAAATCCCCCGCGGATTTCCCTACGACGACTCGTGAAATTTACATGCCCCTTCCGGAAAAGGGGCCAGTGTAGACGTAGCCCATGAATTTATCTAGTTCTTTCTTGAACTCTGTCAGAGTCCTGGTCTTCACAACAACCTCTGGCAAGAAGTTCCACAGGCTGTGTGCGCGCTATCTGAAGAAAAACTTCCTTTTGTTTGTTTTATACCTGCTACTTACTAATTTCATTTGGTGACCCCTCGTTCTTATGTTATGGAAACAAGAAAATAACTTTTCCTTATTCACTTTCTCCATACCTGTCATGATTTTACAGACCTCTATCCTATCCCGCTTTGGACTCCTCTGTTCTAAGCTGAAAAGTCCCAGGCTATGTCTACACTACAATGATCTATTGGAAAAAGGTACTCAAATTGCGCTCTGCAATTTGCCTACCTTTTTTCGATAGTTTTTTCGGAAGAGGCTTTTCCGAAATTTGGCCCGTCTACATTGGGCCAAATTTCAGAAAAGCCTCCTCTTTTGGAAGAGCCTTTCTTCCTCATGGGAGAAGGAAGACAGGGCTTCTGAAAGAGCGCGTCTGCTCTTCCGCTTTTTTTGCAGACACGTTCCCTGGATGTGGCAGAGTTTTTCCGGGATACCAAAAAAACCCATAGTGTAGACGTAGCCCCAGTCTTTGAAATCTCTCTTAATTTGGCACTTATTCCAAACCCCTAATAATTTTTGTTGCCCTTTTCTGAACCACTTATAGTTATACTAAAATAAGCATTTAAAGCTGAGATTTATGAAAGAGGAGAACTGCTGCATCTTCACCACGAGATGCACAAGATCTGGTGTGTGAGGGTACGTCTACACTGCATCCCTAGTTCGAACTAGGGATGCAGTGTAGACGTACCCCAAGTGACTACTGAGCAGTTCCCCTGAAGGTAGAGGGGGCTTCAATGTCAAGTCCACTATAGAAGAAAGAACAGTGGTGTCAAATGCAACATTAGAAGCTGAGTTGTGACTTATTGTGTAGTGTTCTGTGAATGAAGATGGAGTAACATTAGTTCGGACTAAGGGCTTTAGTCCGAACTAACGCGTCCTGGCGCGCACTTCCTGGTTCGAATCAGCTGTGATTCGAACTAGCGCGCCGGCGAGATCATGTTAATGGAGCGTGGGATATTTAAATCCCCGCTTCATTAACTACTTCGGTTGTCTCCATTTGCATCCCTAGTTCGAACTAGGGATGCAGTGTAGACGTACCCTGACAGAAGAGGCCTGGCTAAGCCCCAAAACCTGAATGACATGTCTAGTGTTGGCACTCCTTCCAGTATCTAGAAGAAACAATGTAATCCCACTAGAAACAGATTCAGAGAGAGGTCAGGAGCTAAATGTGTGTCATTCCACTGCAACATCTACCCTACATCAATAAAGTGATACACAGAGACAGAAAAGATTACTCAGTCATCCTTTTTAAGATAGCATTTTCCAGGAATGATCCACATATCATTACCATTGCCTCTCTGCTATTACCTGTCATTAAACAGATAACAGAAAAGGAGATTCTTCATTATTATGAGAAACATATAGCAAATGTACACCAGAATGTTCTCTCTTTCTTATTCTTACACTTCTTATTCTATCATTTTGTAGTATATCAACAACGCTCATGGTATATATCACTTCCCTGCAATCCTTTACTTTCCATAGTGTAAAAATTGGGATCTGTCCACTGTTCTTGCTGTCACATCCTATACTCCTAGTATTATACAGGCAGTCCCCGACTTACGCGGATCCGACTTACGTCGGATCCGCACTTACGAACAGGGCTTTCTCGCCCCGGAGGTCGAGGTAGCGGATTGCTACCTGCGAGCTCCGGGGCAAGAAAGCCCTGTTCATAAGCTGCTCCGGTGCCCCTGGTCTGCTGGAGACCGTCTCCAGCAGACCAGGGGCACCGGGCGGGTTCCCACGCTTCTGAGGCTTTGCCAGAGCAAAGCCTCAGAAGCGTGGGAACCCGCCCGGTGCCCCTGGTCTGCTGGAGACCGTCTCCAGCAGACCAGGGGCACCGGGCGGGTTCCCACGCTTCTGAGGCTTTGCCAGAGCAAAGCCTCAGAAGCGTGGGAACCCGCCCGGTGCCCCTGGTCTGCTGGAGACCGTCTCCAGCAGACCAGGGGCACCGGGCGGGTTCCCACGCTTCTGAGGCTTTGCCAGAGCAAAGCCTCAGAAGCGTGGGAACCCGCCCGGTGCCCCTGGTCTGCTGGAGACCGTCTCCAGCAGACCAGGGGCACCGGGCGGGTTCCCACGCTTCTGAGGCTTTGCCAGAGCAAAGCCTCAGAAGCGTGGGAACCCGCCCGGTGCCCCTGGTCTGCTGGAGACCGTCTCCAGCAGACCAGGGGCACCGGGCGGGTTCCCACGCTTCTGAGGCTTTGCCAGAGCAAAGCCTCAGAAGCGTGGGAACCCGCCCGGTGCCCCTGGTCTGCTGGAGACCGTCTCCAGCAGACCAGGGGCACCGGGCGGGTTCCCACGCTTCTGAGGCTTTGCCAGAGCAAAGCCTCAGAAGCGTGGGAACCCGCCCGGTGCCCCTGGTCTGCTGGAGACCGTCTCCAGCAGACCAGGGGCACCGGAGCAGCTTATGAACAGGGCTTTCTTGCCCCGGAGCTCGCAGGTAGCAATCCGCTACCTCGACCTCCGGGGCGAGAAAGCCCTGTTCGTAAGTGCGGATCCGACGTAAGTCGGATCCGCGTAAGTCGGGGACTGCCTGTATACCATGTTTCTCTGTTTTCCCTCCATATTCAAAAGTATCCTTCTTAAACGGTGAGAATCACATGTAATACTTCTGATATGGTCACAACAGAGTGCAAAACCATATCATAGTTTCCTAATTTTACATTAAATCTGTGTATTTGGCTTTTTTCACAAGAGTGCTAGATTCCAAGCTTGTTTGTTTTATTATACACTGTCACCCTTTCTTCTTAAATTCACTAATTTCTAGAGAACTGCCTTCAGTTTGTTTCTGTGTTTTTATTTATTTTCGTAAAACATATGTATTCAAATGTAATCTCATTTTATTGCATGCAGCCAATTTTCTTGTCCTGCTGGCTGCCTACTACCCAAATATTACTGATCAACATGCCAGAAGATATTGATAATGAAATAAAGTGAAAGACACCACTTACTAAAAG